ATATTGCATTACCCTGAGACATTTTGGAGAAGATATGAAATATAAAGGTATACTGTTGCATATGTGATGAAAATCCGAAAACCTGAAAATAGAACTCAACCCTAATGAAGTCTGTGGGGGCTGAATCTTGTAAAATTTTTCTTGCTTTTTTTTTGGTCTTCTGACTGACATATTTCAGCTAGCTTTGCTCTGTTTGTAAAAAATGATGTGGGGTCCCCCTCAAAATCTATAACAGACCATTATCCAGTGGATAAGAGTCTGGTATGGATTTTGAGGGCACCCAATGCAAAAAAATAAAAAAATAAATATATGCTATACAATATATTGTGGGATCCCCCTACAAATCCATACAAGAACCAGGTTGGGAGGGTACTCCTCCATGACAAAGGCCTCATCCTCACATCCTGGCATGTGTGTCTGTGCAGGGGACATATTAAAATTTCAGAGCCCCCCCCCCCCTTAGAACAATAAAGGTAAATAGTAAATAAACACACATACATCATAGTAAAATCCTTTATTTACAAAAAGTCCCACAATAAAATTAAAGATCATTTATGCCATCCAGCAATGTAGGTTCAATGTCAGTCACAATGAACAATGCCCCACTGACATGTTGGTCCTCTCCTGCTACTTCCATCAGAATTGACAGTTCCCAGAAAATGTTAACACAGTGTCAGGAACCTGGGTGACCCCACTGACCAAATAAGACCATATTTGGACAATGACATCACTCAAGATCCCACTGGTTTGTTTCATATAGGAGGATCTTTGGGCTCAGGTCACCCGTGAGTTTAATGTGGACCCAGTTTGTTTGCAGTGCATCTAAGAGATGAACAGATTTGTCCAGTTTTCACATCCATCCACCGCACCCCTGGCTACTGTAGACAGAAGGTGCGAGCATGTGTACACACTGGCGGAATCTACCCATTTATTTCCCCATTTCAAGAAAAGTGAACAAGCTGGGTTTGTGTTGAACACATGGCTGACTTAAAGCGCATTCTAACTCACAGCAAATTGGCTTTAAAGGCATCAACATGCAAGAAATTACTAAAACAACATTTTTATTGATTATAGAGAAATACAATATATTTCCAAAGGGACACATTTAAAAAATATTGTGATGAGATATATTTTAGAGATTCTAAATGAACTCCAGTTTATGTACTGCTCCATACCCCGCATTCACGATGTACTATATACTGGTAGTGCTGGGTATACAATGGGAATAGAGGTGACTTTTGTTTTTAGAGGACATCTAATACACTCATGCGATGAGGTGGATATCACATTGGGACACTTTATTTTCTATATGTCTGTTGACTAATGCCATTTTGCTAAAAAAAAGTTCCTTTAATATATTGGTGGGCAGCACAGTGGCTAAACGGCACTTCCGCCTGGCAGCACTAGGGTCGTTGGTTCAAATCCCAACCACAGTATCAACTGCCTGGAGTTTGCATGTTCTCCCTGTGCCTGTGGGGTTTCCTCCGGGTACTTTGGTTTTCTCTCAAACTCCAAAGACATCCTAGTAGGTTAAGTGGCTCCTGTCTAAATTTGCCCTAGTATATGTATGTATGAATGTCATTTAGGGACCTTAGATTGTACACTCCTTGAGTGTTAGGGACTGATGTGAATGTGCAAAATATAAGCGCTGTGTAAATTAACGGTGCTATGGAAGTACCTGTAATAAATAGAATATAATAATAAATGTTCTGCGGTGGATGCTACTTCAGGATGTCAGTCTTCCTGTATGTTTAAATTACCACGGAGAGCTTCATATTGATCTTGTTAATGATCTAATTTAAGCCTTTGTATTACCTTATGACATCTTTATATAGCATCTACAATAGCTTGGTATATTTCATGAGTGATTTTGGTCCTGCATGGGAGGTTTGGGTTGTAGGTCTTACCTTTTAACTGCCCCTGCACTTGCCTAAGGGAGTTTTAAAGCTGTTCAAACTAGTATAATTCATTACAGAACATTTACACTTCCATTTTCTCCTGAGGAAGCAGACCACACTGCCTGAGAAATGCTTGGTCATCTTCATCCCACCACACAGTGTGTGCTAGATAAGGCTTATATAGCATTTTACAAAGTGGGTGTGGCTGTATTGGATTTGGTCTTATTGGCAAATTACCAGTATGTAAATGCCCAGGTGGTGGTGTACAAAGTAGTATATAAATGGAGGTTAAATTTGTATTTGTAGAAATACAATTCATCACAATTTTTTTTTTAATATGCCCATATCAATAAGATCTTTTATTTGTACATGATCAGTGCAATATTGTTTTTTTTTTCTTGTTTGTGGGTATCTTTAAAGTCTAACCCTTCTATTGTGAGGGTATAGGAGATTTGTTTCATAGCTTTTCTGATTTGAAAAAGAAAACCAAATTCCCCATCTGTACTCTCAGGTGTATCCAGCCCAAATTAATTCTCCAACGTCAGCATTAGTAATCAAGATGTAACCAGGATCTGTGCAACTCTCCCTTTAACTTGTCTGACCAAGGTCTTGGAAATCTGTATAACAAAAGCAACAAAGGGGGAAGTGCAACCTAGTGCAGTAAATCTTTAATAAAGTGGATTAAAACAATAATATTGCACTCACATGGTTCCAACAAACACTATATTGCCAAAGATATTGTGACAGCCCTCCAAATCATTGGATTCAGGTATTCCAATCACCTCCATGGTCACAGGTGTATAAAATCAAGCACCTAGGCATGCAGACTGCTTCTACAAACATTTGTGAAAGAATGGGTTGCTCTCAGGAGCTCAGTGAATTCAAGAATGGTACCGTGATAGGTTGCCACCAGTGCAATAAGTCCATCCGTGAAATTTCCTTGCTACTAAATATTCCACAATCAACTGTTAGTGGTATTATAGCAAAGTGGAAGCAACTGGGAACAACAGCAACTCAGCCACGAAGTGGTAGGCCATGTAAAATGACATGGGTCAGCACATGCTGAAGCACACAGTGTGCAGAAGTCATCAACTGTCTGCAGAGTCAATAGCTAAAAACCTCTAAACTTTGTGTAGCCTTCAGATTAGCACAACAACAGTGCACAGAGAGCTTCATGGAATGGGTTTTCATGGCTGTGCAGCTGCATCCATGTCTTATATCAACAAGTATAATGCAAAGCATTGGATGCAGTGGTGTAAAGCATGCCACCACTGGACTCTAGAGCAGTGGAGACGTGTTCTCTGGAGTGAGGAATCACGCCTCTCTGTCTGGCAATGCAACGGACGTGCTTGGTTTGGTGGTTGCCAGGAGAGTGGTAAATGACTGACTGTATTGTGCAAAGTGTAAAGGATGGAGGGGGGATTATAGTGTGGATTGTTTTTCAGGAGTTGAGCTTGGCCCCTTAGTTCCAATGAAAGGAACTCTTAAGGCATCAGCGTACCAAGACATTTTGGCCAATTTTATGCTCCCAACTTTGCAGGAACAGTTTGGGGATGCCCCCTTTCTGTTCCAACATAATTGCACACCAGTGCACAAAGAAAGGTCCATAAAGACATGGATGAGTGAGTTTGGGGTGAAGGAACTTGACTGGCCTGCACAGAGTCCTGACCTCAACCCTGTAGAACACCTTTGGGATGAATTAGAGTGGAGACTGCAAACCAGGCCTTCTCGTCCGACATCAGTGCCTGACCTCACAAATGCACTTCTGGAAGAATGGGCAAGCTTTCCCATTGACACACTCCTAAAGCTTGTGGACAGCCTTTCCAGAAGAGTTGAAACTGATATAGCTGCAAAAGGTGGGCTAACTCAATATTGAACCCTATGGAATAAGACTGGGTTACCATTAAAGTTCATAGTGTGTGTGCGTGTATACATATATATATATATATATATATATATATATACAGTCCTCAGCATAAATGAGTACACCCCAACAGATTTGTCAGAAAACCTTTACTTTCCTTTCAGAATCAACATTTTCTATAAGACACTATATTACAAAATACTCTCACAAATGTGGGCCATTGATTGCAAACAAGATTTGTTAATTTGCACACTGAAAAAAGTATTTTTCCTAACAAATTCATTCAAGACCATGTTGCAAGAATGAATACACCACATGGAAGAGAAATGTCACAAGGCCTGAGAAAGAAAATAATTTATTTACACAAGAAAGGTGTAGGCTACAAAAGATCAGCAAAGCGTTACTTATCAGTCAGAATACTGTAGCAAAAGTGATACAAAAATTTTACAAAGATGGAACTGAAACCATCTCACAAAGATGTCCAGGCCATCCACAGAAGTTAACACCTGGACAGGAGCGTCTTCTGATGAGAAGGGTTGAAGAAAATTGCCATGCAAGTTCACTGCAGTTAGTTAAAGAAGTAGAAAGCCAAACTGGGGTGATTGTTTCCCATGACACAATACGGCATGCACTGCAGAGGAATGGCATGCATGGGTGTCATCCAAGAAGGAAGCCTCTCCTAAAGTCCATGCACAAAAAAGCCCCATAGAATTTGCCAGGGCCCATGCTGAAAAAGAAGAAGCCCACTAGGACTCTGTACTCTGGAGTGATGAGACCAAGATAAATGTTTTTAGAACTGATGGCTTCAAAACTGTATGGTGTTGCAAAGGTGAGGAGTACAAAGAAAAATGCATGGTGCCAACAGTGAAACATGGTGGTGGCAATCTCCTTCTGTGGGGCTACATGAATGCTGCTAGTGCCAGGGAGCTGCATTTCATTGATGGTATCATAAATTCACAGATGTACTGCTCTATATTGAAAGAGAAGAGGCTATCACTCTGTGCTCTTGACCAATGTGCACTTTTCCAACATGATAATGGTCCAAAACACATATCTGCTGCATTTCTGAAGAAGAACAGGGTGAAAGCAATTCAGTGGCCAAGTATGTCTCCTGATCTGAACCCAATCAAACACCTATGGGGAATTATGAAGAGACAAGCTGAGCATCACTCTCCATCCAGCATCCAGGCTCAATGTTGATATTGATTAAAATCTTACTTTTCAAAAGGGGTGTACTCATTTATGCTGAGCACTGCATATATATATGAACATACATAGACCAGTGGCAAGTCCATCAAAAAGGAGGTTATCAAGATTGATAGAGCTGGCAGACTGTGCCTACGCTAATTCTATTCAACAGGAAAGCAGTACCTGTGTAACTGTCCTGGGTAACAGGGGTTGTAGACACTGTAGCCAGGGGCAGACTGACAACTCATGGGGCCCCCGGGCAATAGGGGATCATGGGGCCCCTGTGTCCTTGCCCAAACTCAAAAAAGCCTATGAAAAAGGTACCAGGGGCATCTCATGGGGCCCCCTACTGACCCCGGGCCCTCGGGCAGTGCCCGAGTTTCCAAATGGTCAGTCCGCCCCTGACTGTAGCTTAATTGTAGGTCTTACTTGTCAATGGCAAGTAGGGTCTTTTCATGTTAAGATCAAAACTGTTTGGTCAGCCTATCAGAAACCCTTTCCATCTTTACTCATTGATAATTCAAAGGGAAACTTCACCTGTTATATTATTCATTATGGAAGCCCAGGCCCAGAAGATAGTATACATCACTGCATGCATGGAAGCTACCCAGGTACATATTATAGGTGTCTGATAGTTGCATGAATATTCTAAGTACCCTGGCATCTGTCTTGTCTATACCTCTGTACTGTGGATTATTCAAGAACTGAATACAATTTCTTTCTGTGGAAAAGAACCGCTGAACTTGTAAGTGCGGAAAAATAAATTTCTTGGGTAGAGGAGTTTTACATTCCATATCGGCTAGTGAACTCTTGCTCAACAACAATCATTATAACAATAATTATCATTCCTTATCCTTGATATATGATAGATAGATAGATAGATAGATAGATAGATAGATAGATAGATAGATAGATAGATAGAAAAGTGGACATAACAGTTAAGTGAAGGGATACCTAGATGTAGCAAACCATTTAAACATAAACTGCACAGACAAAAACAGGTTGGGGATTACTTTGGCTCTAGTATGATGGTTCATTTTCAGAATTTCTAGAGACAGTAGCAGTGGCTCAGTTAAAGCTTGCAAAAGAGCAATGGGTTCTGATGGTATGCATCCCAGAGTTCTAAGAGAATTTCTAGATATAGTTGTTGGACCATTAACTGATCTTTTTAATCAATCATTTTAAATCTCAAATTTTTAATCTCTTCTAACAAGAGAAGTTCCCCATGACTGGTGGACAGCTAATATTGTACCTATCCACAAGAAAGGCAGCAAGGTAGAAGGTGGCAATTAAAGACCAGTGAGTTTAAAGTATACCTAAAGGCAAAACAGGATTGCCATTGTCATTGAAAGTGAAAGTAAAAGAAAATTCCAAATTTTGGGTTGTCCCCAGAAAAGTAATGGGAAATCTTACAATGGGGAAACTAGTTCTAGTGACCTGGGGGCCCCCAAGAAATTCCCTTAATTTACAGAGATTTTCTCTCACTTCCTGTTTGGCTATGGGACAGGAAGTGATTGAAAATATCCTCAGACACGGATGGTGAAAAAAACAAATCTGACAGGGGTTTATAACTCTCCCTTACTCTGTCTAGCCAGAGTGAATACATTTGTTGCCATTGTGCTCTTGCTGGGAGTCTTCCTGTGCCTTTAAAGAGGGGTGGGCCCCCTCCAGGCTTACCTGCCCTTAATCTATCTATTCTTATATGTGCTCCTGCTATTGAGGCTCTGGAAATTTAGAGTTGGGACCAGCAGTATATACAGAGGTCCCTTGACGTGGGCACAGAGGCTTACCCATATATTTGCAAATGTGTGCAAACAAAATCCTTTGCTTTTAACATAAACTCTTGGGTGGTTCAGTGGATATGCATTTGTCTAAATAATAGCTACCAGAGTGTGATTATAAATAAGGTTCATTTGGAAGAGACCAGTCACAAGGCTCTGTACTGGGTCCTGTTCTATCCAACCTATTTTAAGCAAGAGGAAGGAGGTTCTGATTCCCCTAAATAGATCTTTAGTTAGAGCTCATTTAGAATCCTGTGTCCAGTTCTGAAGGTCTCACTTGCAAAAAGATATTAACACAATAGAACAAGTGCAGTGTCCTACAGACGGTTAGCCAACAGCTAGCTAAAAAAACTAGCAGCGTTGTGTTCACTGAACAAGTGAATTAAACTTTTACTATACTTTTTACAGTGAAGTGCAGCTTTCTTCTTTTCTGTGATGTGGTATAACACAGATCAGCAGCCTCTCACTTTGTGATTTTCTTCAAAGTAAAAATGTAGAGTTTGATCCCTTTGAGAGAGGAGACTGAGAAAATGCCTTTTCCTACCCATAGCAGATCAATTACATCATTTCGCCCAGGCAAATTCACTTGGTTGGAGCTCAAGCTTTTAATTGATAAAAGAAATATTTTTCAAAAATTATACTATTGTTGTTCTATTATGAGATGTCATGAGCATGAACTCTTGTAAGGTTACTGCAAGGTCCCCTTTAAGTGGCCCCTCCCAGCTGTGCATTTTCTTTATTGATTTCCATTTTAGGAGTAAGAGCAGTGCACATACCGACCAGCGTTGTACTTATCCCTGATCCCTATGGCACATGAGTCAACTTGGTAATGTACTCATCCTAGTATCTCTGTTAACTGCAGAGCTTGGGTGCTGCTGTGCAGTGGGCAGTGCTAAGCAAGACTGAGTGGAAATGTCAGGAGCTGGATGATGTTCACTCTCAGTCCATTAGGGTCATCACATCTGTGTTTATGTGCCAGTCTTGGCTGTGTGAGGACATCAAAATGTAATCCATGTCAGGAGTGAGGATAGGAGGATGACTACATTCTACAAGTGCAGTTAAAATCACACCTTTAATGAAATAGCAAAAATAACAGATCAGGAACATAGTCATAAACCGAAGCCAGGGTTTGGATGCCAGAGCAGGTACTCAGATGATCCGGGGTCAGGAAACAAGAAGTCAGCATGGCCAGGAGCAAAAACCAGGAACAGGAATCAGAAGAAAAGTCAGCCAGACTGAGTTGTACTATGCAAGGGCAAGGAAAAAAATGAGCTAAGCTGCTAAAATAGCAAAAAGGAATGGCTGTAGGATGGACTAATAAGGCAGGTAATGGTATCCAGGTACGTTATTGTGAAGACAACAAGTGGCTGGTAACTAACCAATGGCTGAGCAGCTTCTGAGCACTGAAAAAAAGCTGCTTGTTAAGTATCAGGTGCCCAGTCTTGACAGGGACCATGTAGAGTGGCCATGTAGAGCCACCCTCAGAAAGAAAGTTAAGTCAAAGGAGTTCTGTGAAGATTTCTATGATGACATTACTAGGGGCAGTGATTAAAATATATGTACTGAACATTCATTTTTAGTTGGAGTTTAGTAACAGTTTAAGTTTGGTGTACATTCCCTTGATCTAAAAAGACTTGCATTTTAAATAGGTACCATTCTTTCTGAAATGGTTAATTGCCAAGTGAGGTTCAATTATTCCATGGGATCTGAAAGCAGTGCAATCAGTTCAAAGAAGATTGTTCTTATTTTTGTTTTGATTTATTTTTACATTGACTGAAAATGTTTTGCTTCATTTATTCCATTGCTCTCATATTTTTCACACTCAAAGTAAATTAGCACTTGCCACTTCAGAATCAAACTACTCCATGTTGAGTTGCAATTCAGGAAAACATTATTCTCCAATCAAAAGCTATGGCTATATCAGCAAAAGCAATTACAGTTTTTTTTTTGCATAATAATCACAAATAGCATGCAGGAAGAACAGTGATCTATCACATGATAGTACTTTGATAGTAGCTACTTGTAGTTTTAAATGTTTCTTCAAAGTACGGTAAATATAAACCCTAACGAGAGGACAATTTAGTTGATAATGCACTGGGTATCAAATAATTAATTTTATAAAATACAATTTTCACTCTTTTTCATGAAATTTATTTGTTACTGATTCCTCTTTCCCAAAGCCAGTTTATTGATAGTGACAATATTGGGCCAGAGCTGTGCTTTGGGTGTCAGTGCAATCACTTGTAATCTCCACTATATAGATATAAAAGGATGAGAATTCAGGTGCACAACTGGAAGATAGTTGTTACTTCACAATAGAAAGTGCCTGAACATTACCCTTCATGGCAGAACTGCTAATGCTAATTATTCTTTTAATTATGGCTTCATATTTAAAGAGATTGAATAAACAGGGTAACTCTTCTTTGATAATTGTGTGATTGTGTTTAGATCTACAGTATTTTAATTCACCATCAAGCAAGAGAGAAAACAAGCACCATCTAGGTGTAGTATTTAATAAACCATTTAATGAACAAAAAACAATAGCACTCACAAAGGAGGAAAGATCAAGGCATGTATGGCAATAGGGACGGTCGTCAGTGTCGGTCCCGGACCGCAATGGATAGAGGCTGTGAACCAGCTTCCAGGATGTTCTAAGGCTCCCAGGGCTTCCTAGTCGGTGTGGAACACAGCACGATGAGCAGAAGTGACGTCAAATTCTGAGCTTTTGAAAAACCCTTTAGATGTTGGTCCATCTGGACATTATTTTTACCTGCTAAATAAGCAACCTCCACAGACAGCTTAACTCTCCAAAGAGATACTTCAGTTTATTCCAACGTAGTTATACTTGATAAAATATAATACATTGTGTTCACCGAGCAAATCAAAGTGTAAAAGCAAAATGATCCTCTTCACCTTGCCTCCGCTATGAAGGCTAGAAACTAATTAGCTTCTAGCCTTCATAGTACAGGCAAGGTGAAGAGGATTGTGCTGCATTCCACGCCAACCAGGAAGCCCTGGAAGCCTCCAGAACATCCTGCAAGCTGTTTCACAACCTCTATCCATTGCAGTCCGGGTATCACGTACCTGACAGGAGGCTGGAATAGAGAGAGGGCTCCCCTTATGGCTAAGTGCAGTGCACCCCTGGAGGTGGTAACAGGAGGTGCAGTGCCCAAAGAAGCATGGGTTGCTAGTGGTGTAGCTGCTTGGTGATGCCTGATGAGACAGAACCCATGGGTGCTCCAGATACAGGAGGAGTTTCTCCAGAGGATACGTGGATCCTGGAGGATGAGAATAGAATAGTCAGTAGCCAGAGCCAGGGTCAATACGGAACAGCAGACAGGAGCAAGATCAGGATCAAGTCGCGATCATTCACAGAGCAGCAGACAGGAGCAAGGTCAGGATCAAGCCAGGATCATTCACAGAGCAGCAAACAGGAGCAAGGTCAGGATCAAGCCAGGATCATTCACAGAGCAGCAAACAGGAGCAAGGTCAGGATCAAGCCAAGGTCATACACAGAGCAGCAGACAGGAGCAAGGTCAAGATCAAGCCAGGATCATTCACAGAGCAGAAAACAGGAGCAAGGTCAGGATCAAGCCGAGGTCATACACAGAGCAGCAGACAGGAGCAA